CTGAAAAGCCTGTTGGGAACACCTCTGATATCATAGTGGGAAAACACATCAGCGGTGACCTAGTAAAAAAAGTGGTGAGTTAGAACTGTTTTCCTGTGTTACAGCTTTGTCTGCTTTGGTTAACAGATCTCTTGTGACTCTAAAACATTTGTAATGTAAGTTATTCAAAGGACCAAAGGATGGAAAGGACTACTCAAAAATATAAGGCTTTTTTCTTTTAATTGCATTCTCTAATTTAGTTAGGTAATTTAGACTGCTGGCAGTTCTGAAAAGCACTTTGTTGATTTTACTAAACTTTGATCACGTCTATGGTCAATTTTCTGTATTTAGCAGCTAGAATTAGGAAATTATACAACTTAAGTTTCAAAAACATAGCAAAGTGGTTCAAAGTCCAATGAGTTTTACGTAATGAAATATTGTCAAAGTCCTTTAGAAATGTATTTTTTTCGCCTTCATACCCATAGTACCTCTCAGTGTCTGCTAATTTCCAGGCAGAGGAAACTTTTCTGTACATGAATGAAGCTTGCTTTCTTCAGCTCTTTCCTTCTAGTTTTCTACTGGTCATGTCAGAACCCGAGCACAACCATGTATTTTGGAAAGTAAGGCTCTGCTCCGTGCTGCTGAGCACGTAGTAGCAGTAGACATCGTAGCTGTATGTCCTGTATGCCTTTTGACACAGATTTACAAAAGGGAATTAAAATAAACTAGAAAAATGACAGTAGAATTTCCAAATACTGAGTGCTGTGATGGCAAGAATGGCAGAGAATCTTGTGAAAACCACAGGTGGTAAAGAGATCAAATCAAATCAAAAGCCCTCACTAGACGGATGGCTGCCAACAAATATCTTTGTGGCTACCTCTGCTAATAGGTTAAAGGGGTTTTTAAATGTCATTATTGAAGAGGCTATTCATAGACGTCCCATGTTTTCTGCATAATGCTGAAAAAAAATTATTTCCAATACAAGATGTTAAATAACATTTTATGCAATGCAACACCAAAACTTTTACAATGTCCTGCAGGTTATTGTGCAGGCATGTGTAAACTTCAGAGGATTATTTTCAGAAGAAGAGTGCATCAAATCCACTGAAACATTTAAATCTTATTTTTGGAAAGATAAGAGCTTCTATGCTTCTAGTGTTGTTTGGCAGTGGAAGTGATTAACCAGCAGCAGTAAAAAATGTTGATAGTAAGCAGCAATTGGCACAGATTTCTTCCATTTCACACAGACAAGGAAAATTTTTGGTATGAGGATATCATCCCCATCTGAAAGTGACAGGTTGTTTTCTTTCTAATCAGGATCATTTAACCAGGAACATTCTTTTGGGGACTTAATCAAGGGTCAAAATGTTGATACAAAATACATCTAGATATTTTCTATGTGGGCAAAATCGCAGAAGTTGTTTACCAGTTTCAAGCACATGTATCTCTAGTTAAGTAAACAAGACTGTTCAGACCTAGTTAAAGTTACTGGTTCGAAAAGGATACCTCTGAACCCAGTTTCAGCACTCTGATTTACCACGCTGTGCCACAAACCGCTGTGCTTGTTCAGCAGAGCTGGCCGTGTTTTCTGGCACTGGGATGAAAATGAACAGCAGGAGACAGAAAGGATGGGAACTTTTTAATCCATTACTGTGGTCCAGGCCCTTCAGACATGGCACACGTTCCCCTCTGCTTACCCTGCCACCAGGTAGTAATCTCTGGCAAGGTCAGGATGGGCAGCTGGGGCAGAGTGACACCTTAATCTGCCAAAGTAAGATTCACGATCTCTAGGAAACATACTTAGATGCCTTCTTTAATGAGAGATAATGTTATCTGCAAGAGATGCTGTCCTGTGCGAGTTGCATCAATGTTATGTTTTCTGCTTTAAGCTTGTTCAAAGTGTTTCATCTGTCAAAGTTACATCAAAATTGATAATGTAACTGCAGCAGTTGGAACCCTACGGGCAGTGAAATTGTATTTGTATGACTCTCTTGAATTTGGCTCTTAGGCCCTGACGCACATGTAGCAGGAAAAGCAGGCTGGGTCGTACCTAATGCACAATTTAAGCTGTGATTCAGGTAGTCAGACAGGTTGTTTACATCTCCCTTTATGTCCAGCAAGACTTTAAAATGCTAGAACACACCATAATACTTATTACTTTATTCACAGACCTCCAGAAACTCCTGTTTTTCCTATCTGTAGGGTATAATTTAATATAAGAAATGCATCATTTAAACAACATAATTTTTGTTTATTAGGATTAAAGAAACAGCTTTTTTCTTTTGAATCTTTGTAGGAGTCAGATCGTTCAGAACAGGGTGGAGTACCTCAGCTAGAACCTGTACTACCCCCACGGTAAGTGCAATTCTTCAGTGACTCTTCACACTTAAAAGAGTTGTTTCTGAGTTAGTTTGCCTAGTTAGTCTCAGTGCAGACACTACCAACCCTAGTCCGAACTCAGTAGGCTTACGTAGGTAGTGTGCTCACGAATAAATAGGCAGGACCATGTTGCTAGCTGATGAGTACGTCTTTGTACATTACTGGTATGAGCAGGGAGATTATAGGAGGACAGCTGTTTGGCTCTTCAGCTAATGTACAGTGGCTGCTGACAGTCATTCCTTTCTGCATCTTTAACCTTTTCACCCACAGCAGAGAGAACATCCCCTCCTGCATGTTGCTGACCTTTTGATCAACAGCACTTGCACTTGTAGCTGGGTTTGAGTGGTGAAGGAATGGAGGTGTCAGATGCTGCCACCCCCCTGAAAAGGGCAGATGCTGGGCTAGCACCTTCCCAGAAGCACTGGCTAGTTCATACAGCTCACGTCAGACCTAAAACGCTTGGGTTTTGTATTCTTTTGAACCAACAAGAAACCAGGTCTGCAGAGGCAGAAATAGCTGGACTAGCCTTAAATTCAGGTCTAATAAATGCCAGAGACAAACTGGAGGGAGATAAGGCATTGGCTAGCTAGCCCACTGCGGCTAGCTCAGCATCTGTGCTCTAAATCTGTGGGTTTAAACACAAGAGTTTGCTCTGTTGTGTCAGCACAAGAGAATCTTTCTGTTATTAAACTTAGTCTACCAATAATAATAAGTATTAATTAACAGGAAAGAATGTGGTTGTACCCACAAGGCAGCACCTCATTGTTGCCTGTAGTGGGCTTGTTACTTTCCCCCAATTTTTTAGCATGGTTCTGGTTCTCTTGAGGGTCTCTGGAACTACAGTAAATGTTTTGTCCTTTCACTCGCTGCTCAAATGGGTATTTCTTCTTTAACGTAAGCAGTAATAATTCTCTGAATTGCTTTGTAAGGGTTTTCTTGTTTAGTTGAGTTGCCTTAAAAATGTATGGGTTGGTTTGTTTCCAGATTTAATGCAGTCTAACTTGGAATTTCCCCTTTTGTCAATATTGAAAATGTTTAGTTTAGGCCAAGAAAGGGGAGAGGTGGAAGGTGAACAGAAGTAGAATTTTTTTATTTATTTAAAAAATAATCCGTACTCAAATAGTAATAGAGAACTCTTATCAGGAGCATTAGCAGAGCATTAATATCTTCTCAGGTGGTGGATGACTTTCACTAAATATGTCAGAAGGATACTCCAAAGATCCACTATTGCACATTTTTTGTGGTTGATAACTTCTACAGACCCTTGAGGAATTCGCATGAGCAAGTAATTATGCTGAATTACACTATATGAAAAAAGGAGAGACAATTGTAGCAGAAACTTGCACTAACTGGCCAAAGATGTCCCATAACAAACAATATTGTATTTTTGGAACAGCAGTAGTGTCAGAGTTGTTAATAACAGGAACCCAAAGTTTCATGTACATAATGCTTGTTTATAACAGAGGTGGTTTTTAATTAGCAAGTTATTGATTTGGCCACATTCTTTGGTTCTAAAAATCATGGCTCGTGTAAAAAGCTGTATAGGCAGCTTTTTTTAATCAATGCTTAGTAAGGTGGATTTTTTTTTTTTTTAATTACCACTGTCACTTGCTGGTCTCTGATTTTGGTTTCTAAACTAGTGGCACACTAATGAGAGTGTGGTACCTCCAGCATTGCCAGAAAACTCAAGTACTTTTACTGGTGTTTTCTTTCTGCAGTAGGCATCTGTTGCATAAAACCGGCACATTGTGCTATTGATGCCATTACGCAGAGGGGGGTCATGTGCCGTGAGTTTCAGCAGAGGCCCCAAAGCCACTTCAAGTAAGTGACACCCCAGTGAATGAGCTAGGCTGATTCCTGAAGACCAGCTGGATCAGGAGAGCTTCTCAGGGCTTTCACTAAAGCTCTCCACTAGAAGAACTCCATCGTGAGGCAGCTTCAGACAAAGCTCTTTCTCAAGGTGGATTGCTGAAAGAAATCCTGCTTGTGTAGTGGGCTCCCGAGAAAGCTGTCAGGCTGTTGATAAGTGAAAGTTGTGGGCAGACTTGGAAATATCTAGTCAAAGGATCTGTCTAAGGACTTGATTATCCAGTCCAAATATCTGAAGAGTTCATGTATTCCCGGAGAGCTTCAGATATTACATGCTCTTCAGCCCAGGTCAGCATGAGTCACGTTTCTTTATTGCATATTCTATAGCTAGTGCTGTGGTGGAGGGTGAGGTGGCAGTTTTATTAATATGCATATTTCTCTGATGGTCTGCCCAATTTTTAGGCCCCTGGAAGGAAAAATTATACCTGCTCGACCTCCCCCACCCAAAGGTGTTCCTGGAAGGCCGCCTCCACCAAAACTCTCTGCAGCCAAGACCTCCTCGCAGAAGGATGCTCTCTCACGATCTCCTTCTGACATCGCTCCTGATAAAAAACCTGGCAAGTTCAGATTGGGACCCAAGAGATCAAAAAGTCAAGTGTTTAAAAATGCAGATCCAGCATTACCTCCTAGACCTAAACCAGGTCATCCTCTCTACAATAAATACATGGTGAGAATCGAGATACTGTGTCTGAGGCTGTTGTTTATAAACAGTGCTGGTTAAAATAGTAGTGAAAAAGGTAGTAAGGTAGGTTGCTGTGATGTGGCTTTCAAAGTGCATCTGTCAGCATAATCTTCCTTAGAAGATACTAATAGATGAACAGTTATAAATCCTGTAAGGTACTACTGGAGAAAGCAATATATACATCAAAGTATAGATATTTGTGTGTGTGTTGTTGTGTATATATGTAATTTTTATATATTTATTTCTTTAATGCAATTTAAAGCTTTTGAGTTTTGGGGGTTCTTTTTACAATCACCAGCTCTGAATTCTATTACAGCGTGTATAATGATGCTAAATAATTGCGTTTGCATTATTGTTTTTCCCTGTATATGTCAAAATGCTTAAGAAAATTGGGGGAGCGTTAGAACTTAAAGTAGTTTACCTTGCTTAATCAAGCCCACAAAGAGTGAGGAATATAACACCTCTTATCTTACACATCCATCCGATTGATGCCATCCCTTTTCATTATAAAAATGTTTCTTTTTGGTGTTACATGTGTTTTTAGGGAATATTAAACATGAATGGATCAACATTATAGATAGAGAAACTGGTCAGTGATCAGAGCTGGTGATTGCTTGAACCAGTGCTGTTGTCAAAAAAAGCACCCACACAACTGCAGCATGAACAACGTCAGCGTTCAGCATGAAGTGGAAGCTCTCTGTTGCCTTCTCTTTGATCTTCACTCTTGCATTTAGATCCTTGCCAGAGCAGAGGAGCAAGAAAGATAAAGATATATCTGAGTTGACAGTAGGAGAAGCTTTGGGATAAGAGAAGCACGTTGCTTCCTCTCTGGAGTAGCCACACCTACTTACGTAAGATATATGTGACATATATTTTAGAGAAGAGATTTTTTTTAGTAGCATATCACTAGTAATTCCCTGCCCTGAAATTAAAATGAAATTTTCCTCCTAGATTGTTTTTCCAGCACCCTCCATGACCAATGAATACATTTCTGTGTCAGTGTGTTGCTGAACATCATGTACCGTGCGGTATGATTCCAGTTAGGTGGCTAAGACACTTTTAAAGTGCGTGACAACACCTAGTTTTCTTGAAGTGACAGTTCATATCACCAGTAGTCTGTTCTGAATGCCTTCCAAAGGAGCTTGTCCTCTTCCACTGGACAGTTAGTTACCTTTAGCAGCTGGTTTGAATAGTTCCATCATCTGATCATTTTCACCTGCAGTGGGAATTTAACATGCTTACAAATGAAACAAACTTTTCCTTTTGCCTCTGTTTCTATTCAAGCTTCCAGTGCCTCATGGAGTTGCCAAGGAAGATTGTCATCCGAGGAACACTGGAGAACTGTCCTGTAAGGTAAGGCTGTTTTTTCTGCTGATAAATATTTAATGAGCAAGACTCCTGTTGTGTTAAAGTATCAAGTGCTTTAGGCTTTAAAGGTTACACTAAGAAATGTAATAGTGTTTTATTAAATCCTTGTGTTTCTTTAATAAAAACAAAACGACCACCAAAACAAAACCCAATAATGGTGATGTGCCTTATAGCACAGGGATATTCTGTGTATGGAGCAGAGCAACAGTAATTACTTGGAGTGCCAGAAGGGAGAGGAAACTGGTAACGTTTCTCTGTCTCATAGGAAGATAATCACTTCCTTGGCTGAGTATCTGAAAAGTGGGCAAAAGATAAGCAAGTAGTTTATGAAGTACTGTGCATGATATATCAGTGAATTGGCTTTGACATGTGGACTTCAAAGTATTTTCCTCTCTCTGCTTCTGCAGAACCTAACCTGGTTTTAGGGCATGACTGTACTAATATTAAATAGCTAGTATAAAATATAGCTATGGGCAGCGGTTTTTATTATTATCAGAAACCTACATGGCTGAAATAGATTTTTATGCAATCTGTTGTTATCTGTTGCAATTCATATTATTCTGGCCTTATCTTTGTCTGTGTTGGGCTGGTTTGGTTGGGGTTTTTTTGTACAGAATGAATTACTTTGAAGGCAGTTCACGCACAGTGATTGTCATTACAGTCTAAAAATTCTTAGTGGGTGGGATAGAGAAGAAAGCTTAGTATTTTGAATATAATTTCCCTTTAAAAAGTTCCTACAACAAAATTGTCATTTGCCCTCAGCATTATCTTCCTGTAAGCAAAGGCCTGCTCGCCCCTCTAAATGCTTGGCAGTCGGCAGATGTGCTGGGGGACAGCTGGGCTGGGGTGTTCTTGAGCAAGGAAGAGTAACTGCTGGCAGCACGCAGTACCAAGCAGCAATGCAAAATTTGGCCACACCTTTTGCTATGAGAGTTGCTGTCGGTGCCCCAGATTTCTGACCCACAGAGCTAGCTGAGGCTTTGACTCCACTGGGGAAAGTCACATGCCTTTCCTTCTTTTTAATGGCTCAAAAGTAGATTTTTGGTGAAATGTGTTCTGGTTTACGCTGGCAATAGGCACACAGAAGTCAGACCCATAGCTGTGTGACCAATACTACCTGCTGCCTCCAAAGGTGATTCTCTGATACCAGAACAACATTGTGTTCAAAGTCAGAAATTACTTTGAGTACGTAACAGAGAATCTCTGTTAGTGTCTTCCATGACTTATAAATGACTTGGATTTATTTGTTGTTGTCAGGATTCAAACCACCCTCCAAAAGTTTCTGACACAAGTGCACCTTATGCTGTAGTCCTGCATGACTTTCCTGCAGGTAAGTAAATGTGAATATTCTGGAAGCTTGTTTTACTCCAAGACTTTCAAATGGGAATTTTCTTAGGAATTAAGAGCTTAAAAATTATGAGGAAGCTCAGCCTTCAAGGTCTGCATGTAGAGAGGGTTTAGCTACAGTTGGGCCAGTCTTTTAGTTAAAGCTAACTGGTTTATCAAATATAAGACTTTCTGAAAACTCATTCTCGTTTTGTCTGTGATATTTATATTAAGGTTTTACTTAGAGAAAATCAGTGAATGTGACAACTACTGTTAACTGAAATGATGCTGTCTTACAGAGCATGCTGATGACTTGGACCTTCATTCTGGAGACACCGTTTGTCTTTTGGAGAAAATTGATGCCGAGTGGTACAGAGGAAAATGTGGGAATCGCACGGGGATATTTCCTGCCAACTTTGTTAAAGTAGTTGTATGTAGGCTTTGTATACATTGCTACATAAGATCCTATTGCATTGATTTTCTGGTTCTATTTTGTTATAGCTCCATTTGTTTAACTCCATTCTGTATGTAGATAATCTCTTTTCCCTCTGGCAGCAGAGAAGACGTATCAACTTGTTTGTATGGTATTAGAAAGATGCTGTATTTGGCATGACCAGCTTGTGTTACAGGGATTATTTTGCTGTTAATTTGAAGCCAAGTGAGAAAATCATGGCCCTTACCAACTTCTCTTTGTTAACCGGGGTAGTTTCTCAGGGTCTACAGAGCAGATTATTTTTCACAGCTGCGTGCAAGAATCAACACTCGGTAAGATTATTGCTTTATGTGCCTCCTCCTAGCCCCCCCAGCTTCTCTCATTTTCTTGTCCCTTGAACTGTGCTGGAATCACCACTTTTATATAGCCACGTAGTGAACTAGGTCAGGGCAGCAGTTGTGGCCAATGAAACATTGTTTCTGTCTTCCTAGAATATTTTTTTTTCCATCTGGATCAATTCGCCTAAGTGGCTTATTGAGTGGCTGCACAAATGGTTGTGCTGGCACAGTGCAAGGAGATCGTGCTGTTGCAAATGAGCAGCTTAAAGCAATCCTGTTACTGAATGTGACACTCTACAGTAAATGGCAGGCAAGAGACAGGTGCTGTATTGGAGCCCAATAGCAATTAAGTGAGTGCCTCATCTTTAAAAGAGATACAATGTGGTTCACTGTGTCAAAGGCTGGGTCAAATCTATGACAAGCCTGAGTCTGAGATGGAAGTCCATTTGCTGGCAGCAGAAAGGGCCATTAGGCTATTCACACCAGCCATATGGACACGGAGGAATGCTAAACTGACACCAGGATGCAGTGAAGGTGTGTGGCTGAGCATTAAAGACAGTAAAAGTCTGTGTTGAGCCAGGGCAGAGATTAGCACTGCTGCTGCAAGGACAATACCAAGTATCTGGTAACCATCAGAGAGTGTGAGGTGTCCGTTTAGTTTGTAATGGTGTTAGTAGGGAAAAATTTTAAGATTTGAGAACTGCTGAAGAATAAAAACCAGACTTGGGGTTAGTAATAAGAGAACCATGCTCAATCCACTTTCATGAGAAAGATTTGTTAGCTAAATTGATTAGCTTCTTCTACACAGACCAACAATTTTTAAATTAAAAGCTCTTGGTAGTACTGATGGCTAATAGAAGATTTTATGTTAAAGCAGTGGAATGAATATTTGGGATCAAATTCAGCATTGATACAGACACAGCTTCATAAAAGCTAGGGAACATGTGTTTCAAATTTCTATTTTAGTTGTAAAAGGTGGTTACACTTTTGAGTGCAAAAATCTTTTGTTTCGACAAAATTTTTTTAAAAAAGGAAAAAGTGCAGTACCTGAGGCTAATTCACTGAGTGTTCATTCATGTCTGATCTGATGTTGATACAAGGTCTCTGTACAATATGCTATAGTGTATTTTACAATATTGAGCTGGGTATGGGCTTGAGCCTGGACACCTAACAATCGTACATGGTTATTACTTCCCATAGAACCTTCAGAGCACCACAGATATATCAGCTCCTCTAGCAAAAGCACTGCAAAGATTATTTGTCCTAAAAGGCAGCATGACTTCCTCCAGTCCTTCAGATAAGCTAGTTAAACATTCTTGTTGATTTTTATGGGAACTGGCTCATGTGACAGTGAGCCATAACCCAAAGCTCCTCACCAGGGTCTCTAGGCTTGTAGTTTTATACTAATCTCACAGATCATCCTTCACGTCACACCAAAAATACCATTTAAGTCCTCTTATGATAAAGGACTTGAATGCTGTCTGTTTGATATCTCCATATAGTGATTTTCTAAACTATATTTCTCCAATTCAAGTGAGATTTGTGAGATGTGTTTTTGTTTGGAGGACAGCTGGCTACCAAAGCCCAGAAAGGATATGTTTAAACAATCATTTTGTCTATTGTGATATATTATGCTAGAAAATAACAGAGAGCAATTATCAATTGAAAGTTGGAAGCTAAATGCAACAACATGTAGTAGTATCCAGTCCCGTATTCTCTTGTCAGTCGTGCCACAAGTAGAAACAGTAAACCAGCTTCATAATAGAAAACATTAAATAGTGCTCCTTGTTTGACTGAGATTGAAAAATGAGAAATCAGGTATACAAAACTGAAATCTACGTTAATACGGTCATATAGCATAGCATGCCAGCGAACATAAAGCGTCACATGGAGATTGTAACTGGAGCTGATGCTTACCTGAAAAATAGATTATTTTAACCAGTTCCAAGTTCATTGTAGTTATGTTGCCACAAGCTTGAAATTATTTTACTTATTTTGTTGTCTTATTAGATTGATGTTCCAGAAGAAGGCAACAGGAAAAAAATACCCAGTTCATCACAATGTGTTAAGTGAGTCAGACTAATCTTCTTTCTCCTCTTGATTTAAGTAAAAAGAAAAATAACTTTGAAGCAGGTGTTACCTGCGCTGAGGTTAATATGGTAGAACAGTTTCTTCACCAAAATATATTATAAAAATGAAGCTCACAAAACTGAAAGTTTATGATGTTTTAATAAGACTCATATTCTCTAATTCTAACTAACCATAAAGTGTATCATTATACGGGTGAATATAAAGTTCCTCAGGTCAAATTATCAAATGTACTTCAAGCACTTTTGTTTCTGATTTGCAAACAACTTGTACTAAGATTTGTGGGCAAGCAACAACTTTCCCTGCTATTTTTACTCAAGAATGATTTATTGGATTTCATAATCATTGCAGCAATTAAAGCAAACTCAGGCAGAGGCAGGAACTTGTATCAAGAGAAGCAGGGCTATACTCCAATTTTCCACCTCTTCTATCTTTAGTGCATTCTTCCATCATTTTAATTTAAGATATCAATCTATATTTTGCACAATGCTGCCTTATTATTAAGTGGACAATAATAATAAATAAGCAAAGTAAGTTTCTCTTTTGTTTGTGCAGAGGCCCAAGATGTGTAGCACGATTTGAATATATTGGAGATCAGAAAGATGAGCTCAGTTTTTCAGAAGGTGAAACTATTATCCTTAAAGAATATGTAAATGAAGAGTGGGCCAAAGGAGAGCTGAGAGGCACATCTGGAATTTTCCCCTTGAACTTTGTGGAAGTAATTGAAGATCTGCCTGGAACAGGTATGAATATGTTTGCAAAAAAATTCTTCAAGAACATGGTTTTGTACTGCTTGCATATAGGCAGCATATAGGAGAAAAGTCCAGAAGGACAATGAATGCAGGAAGGAGGTAGAAAGGGAGAAAATACAGACAAGAAAAATTAAAAGGAATAGGATGACTTCGTAAGAAGTTATTCGTAGTAATCAGTTTCAGTGTCTAAAAGCTCTACCATTAGTAACATTTTGAATAGTCATTGCTGCTCTTCTAAGTTGTCCTTTACTTATGTACATACAGGAGCAGCACCGAAGAACAAGGTGGAGGCTGCTTCTTCCCTTCCTGAGGTAATAAAATTGTATAGGTGAGGGGGACAATTTACACAGCAGTTTCATAGATTTACGTAGACTTTCTATGATAACGTCAGATTAGCTGCACAACTTTTAACCCGAGTGTAACACAACTCCCACAGCTCACAGTGCTGCACGGTCACATCTTGAATTCTGACAATTGGCCTACACTAATTGAATTCATAGCTTATGGCAAATTAACATAAGGAAATTTTAATCCTTTGTGTTTAACCAAATTCTTGTTAGCTCTATTTTAAGTATTGCTGCACTGGTCTAATATTGAATTTATTAATCCCATCCCCTGCCACCAATGATAAAAAGGAATGCGTCTGAGCCTAGATTAATGTGGTAATTGCTGAAATGCCATTCTAGCCTACACCTGCAGTGACACTGTTGTGTGGGAGAAAGTCAGGACACCCACATTCTGTACAGCTGCTTTCACCAGTATCCATAAGCTTATGGGCTCCATTAATGCTTCTAAAATTAATGCATTTCTTCTGTTCACTTGAATAGAACAACAGATGCTCAGTAGAGTGGTGTGAAGCGCTTCATGATTTTACAGCAGAAACCAAAGATGATTTATCCTTTAAAAAGGGAGACTACATCCAAATCCTGGAGCAAGTAGATCCAGAGTGGTATAGAGGAAGACTGAATGAAAAGGAAGGGATTTTCCCAGCAGTGTTTGTTCAGATCTGCTCAGGTACAGTGCTCCTACTAGATGGCAATTCATTATTCCTTGGGTTGTGACAGTCACAGTGGAGTTCTGGGAGAACTCAGCTAGTCCACTGCATTAACCAGCCACGCACCACCACAGTCCTCAATATCCTAAAGCTAAACTAAGCATTGAACCACTCTCTCTAATAATGCCAATATAATGCTCTAGTCAGTAAGTAACATGGGAGGTGGTACAGATTCTGGCTCAGTTTAAAGTGTGCTTTGGGCACAGGCACAACAGGACCACTGAACTGCCTTTGGTAGGAATTGAGGGGTAGAAAAGATGGGAGGGGAGCCAGGCTCTCCCTCAGCTGAAGAGGAACACTGCAGCACAGCCAAAGAGCTGGTAGAGCTTTAAATAACAACCGCTGAATCTTGGCACAGAACTGCTGTACTGTCCTTGGTGAAGCAAGGAATGAATGCTGCTTGCTCTCCTCAAGCTTCTGTTTGGTCCCTAAATGAATGCAGTCAAAACCTTCACAGAGGACACAGAAAATCTTATTTTTCTCCCGTAGTTTTTGTAAGTAAAGCCATGATGACAGGAAGTTGACAGAAAATAAATTCCCCCTAACTGGCAAATAGCACATACTGAGTGGGGCTTCATCTCCCAGTACGAAGAGGAAAAGACAGCTTTTACTAGATATTGCCAAGTGGACTTTAAATTTATTCCTCTTAGAAGCAGAACCATGAGAATGTGTTAATACTGTAAAATGAACTGGTGTCAGTAGAGATTTTTGTTCCATTAGGACAGTGAATTTGCTAAGTAGCACTAGTAATCTGGACACCCTGTAGCACACTAGCGGGGAGAAAACGAAAGACAGGAAACTTTTCCAGAAACAGAGATTGATTTCACTCCAATCCAAATAACTTGTCTTGTCCATGTTCTGCAGCCAGGGTAGAGCTTCTAGGAGGGAAGAAAGGAAAAGCCAAAGCTCTTTATGATTTTCATGGAGAAAATGAAGATGAGCTTTCCTTCAAAGTAAGTACCTCTCTGCTTAGCCCAATTTTCCAAAAGGTCTTATGCTCCTAAAGAATGCTAAAAAATAGGTTTTATCCACAGTGAAAATAGAATAGGCATAGATATTAACACATTTGATAAATGGCCTCTCAAAAAAAATTTTTTTGCTCTTACCACTCCTGTTTCATATTGGCAAAATCTTCACTGAAAAGAGGGTCAGGAATTGCAGAATTTGACTTCTCTGATCCAGTAAACATGACAAGACAAACAAACTTCATTTTGCAGTACATTCAGTCCTTGATCAGTTGATAGGATCAAGACAGCAAGAAGGAGGATAACGGTAAGAGGGCTGGTGCTACAGCAGCAATACCTCCAAGGGACACCTAGTAGAGCAAAATCTAAAATTTAATTTGGCAGCAGAAGACATAGTTGCCATGGGAGCAAGGGGAGAAATAAAATACTTGCTGGATGCCCAGATAATATTAAGAAGCACGAACAAGAAACAGCATGCCCTTGTAGATTCAAAGTCACGATTCAGGTAACTCTGTCCTCAAAAGCATGTTTCCAAGAAACAGCAGACTTCCACAGCAGACCCAGAATTGTGTTTATCAGCTGGGACACACTATTTTATCTTTCTAAAGCTAGCAAAAGTAATTAGTTTCAGCATTAGCAGCTTGCAATGCTGAAAGGGTAGATGATTCTTCAAAGCAGAAAAGGGGAACAGAGGTACTGGAAAGAAAGATCAGGGCCATGAGAGTACTTGAGATGAAGGCTGTGGCATGCGAAGATGAAACAGGAACAAGGATCCAAGGCAGGAGCTGCAGTTTATTTTAAATGGCCACACTAAGCTACTCAGACAACTGCTTTCCTTTTTGGGAAATGCTGAAAGGGTAGATGATTCTTCAAAGCAGAAAAGGGGAACAGAGGTACTGGAAAGAAAGATCAGGGCCATGAGAGTACTTGAGATGAAGGCTGTGGCATGCGAAGATGAAACAGGAACAAGGATCCAAGGCAGGAGCTGCAGTTTATTTTAAATGGCCACACTAAGCTACTTAGACAACTGCTTTCCTTTTTGGGAAAGTTTCCAAAGGAAAGAGGAAAGTTTTCAAATCCTGGAAAATACTGGGACTAAAGGGGAGAAAACAAAAAAGGCAAAGAAAAAAAAAAAAAAGCAGCTTTGAAGCGTTTGAAGAAAAGAAGCCCTCATAACAGAGCAGGGAAACACACAAATAGCAAGTAATGCAAGGGGCCTGTGAGCCGGCTCTTTATGTACCTGCCTAGCTGGAGAGCTTAAGCAATACTGAAGTTATCCAGTAATGCTATTTTTCCCTTCCCTAAGGCAGTGATTTTTCAGCACAGACAAATACTTACCCTAAGAGAAGCTTCATCTGGTTTTGGCAAACAATCTCCAAGAGATGTAACCAACAGAAGAGACTGGCCACATCCTACTTCTCTTCTATTTGGTTGCTGTTAATTGCTAATGAATAACATCAGCTATGCATGTGTTAACATGGCACAGTAAGCTGTACTGACTCACCCTACTCCTCTTACAGGCGGGTGATACAATAACAGAGCTGGAATCTGTGGACAAGGACTGGATGAGTGGAGAGATACAAGGAAAGTGTGGGATATTTCCCAAGAACTTTGTTCAGATTTTAAAAACACCATGAAGTGTTGCCTCTCTCTGTACTCCCTGCACGTGGGAGAGAATGTTTTCTATCCTAAAGGCACAGCAAAGACATCAATGTGTTTTGACTATCAATGTTTTGCACTACTTTTTCTAGACAGTCGTACTAGTATCTTGAAGTCAAATAAGAAAATGTTAGCCTTTTGTGAAAGTGTATGTAGTCATGCTTCATGAATGCTCTGAGAGCAAATACAAGCAGGATTTTTAGCAGTTTCCAATTAGGGAAACACTGTGGTGCAATGCCATTTTAACTTAAAAAGCATTCTAGTATGTTCACTATCTGGCATTACATTTATCATGCACAAAGTCTGCATAAAGTAAGCTGCTTTGGGTTTCTTTAAAAACTTTTTAAGGTCCAAATTGAAAAAAGTGTCTTTAATTGTGTTAATAATTACAGAACTCAATATGTAGATCAAGTTTGATATTCAGGTTTCATTACTGCTTGACTTCCACATTAGCAGTAGAATCCATTTGTTTTATGACTTAGAAGATAAAGAAGATAACTGATATTTCATAGTAGAAAAATATCACATCTAATACTGGTAAGAGGGAAAACTCAGAAGCAAATCCTTGTGTAGTACTTGTATTCTTGTGTAGTACTCTTCTATTCTTAGCCCAAGCTGCTCATACAGGAAGATCACAACAGTAAAACCTTTTTGCCTCTTAATGAACAATGTTCAGATTGGTATGAATCATCTTAGACCTTCCTCCCTTTCCCCAAAATCCTTTCCACATACAAGTTTAGATTTTTCTGCTGCCCACTGTACTTCAAGCACCATCGCACCCAGCTGAAGTTAGTCGTGACAGACAGCGTTTACCGAGCTTTCTCAGCTCCCCTCCAGGCAGGAGCTACACTATGCCAGCTATTTGCCCCTCCACCCCTTCGTGTAAGTGGAAAGCCAGCCTTCTCTCAGTCTGCATTTCACTTGTCACTCAAGCACTGGAACATACTTCAGTAACACTATTCCTACCCTTAACATGAAAGATACAGTACAGCCTTGGTTTTAGCTTTCAGCAGACAGGGGATTAGTTTCCAGTTTGTTACCACATACCAGCCATACTGAGCATCATTATAAACGGTCTGTGGAGGCCTGAAGGAAAACACGCCTGGCAAGAGGCTACTTTGAGCAGCTCTAATAAAGGCATGTAGTAAAAAGCAGCAGTGTGACTTGAACAACAAACAGAGAGGCATGACTGAGGTAACTTCACCGTATAGGAACTTCTGGTAGTAAATTCCTTTTTACAGCACTTGGCTTCTGACAAAATAGTTAAATGCATCTTGATTAACTGCTAACTTCATCAGACTGGAATAGAAAAAATTATGCTGCAGTTGGCTCTTTCATTGCTGACAGTATTCCATCCCTTTTGTGCTATATAACAAAAAGGAACCAGTAAGCTGTTGGCACGAGGCTGTAGAGAGATGCAGGTCATTAGGAGCAGTGGGTTAACCTTGGCTGTACTTATGCTCCCATTACTGCCAGAAGAGCATACTTAAAATTTTGGATAGTCATTCATTATTATCATTATCATACCAACATGAGGCAAAAATCCTCTTGCTCTTCCAGCAACATCTTTCTTGTCTAACTTTCTTGTCAACTTTTCTTGTTGTTTTGGGAAAAAGAGAAACGTTGGATCTAAAATGTAGTGGAATTACAAAAAACAAATGACTTGGTAAAGGTAACTCATAGCAATAATACTACCACCTACTGACAACACTAAAACTTACAACAATGTGATAGCTATTAACAATGTAACAATCCCTTATTATTACTAAAAAACCCAACGCAATTACTTATTGATACTGAAAAGAGAAGGAGGAGCTTGTTATAGCATTACCCTTATGGGCAAAGAAAATGAGTTAAAGGAAGAGATCAAGAGATGCTTGAAAAGAGAAAGGAAAAGGAAAGAGAGAAAGAAGCTATCAGAAAGAATTTTCACCACCCAAAGTCAAACCACGACAGTCAACATCTCAGAGGGGGCGGTCCTCAGATGGAGGGTGTGCATCTCTCCCTTTGTTTATTTACCCTTTATAGAGAAAAGTTCTCAGGTCTCTGCCCAGCATTCTTCAACTAACATAGGAAGCCACAAAGGTGTCTCCTTAATCAGCACAGGAAGCAGAAAGAGGTGTCTCCTTAATTTGCATGGGAATTTTGTCTGCTTTCCTTGCTGGCACCCCAGAGTTGAGGGAAGGGAGCAAGATTTGCTAGTTTGTTGTAGGGTAGCAAGGGAAAATAACAGGATTTGCTACTTTTGCATTCCTCACTTCTAATCAGCAAGGAATGTAATTGCAGTTTTTCACAAACTGACAAATCATTTGTTTCACAAGGCCTTCAACAAACAGTCACCTTTCATCCCTCACCACAGCTGCTGTAACAACCCATCTTCTTTAGTCCCTTACAACTGGCTTTCTACTTTCATTAAGGGAATTAACATTACAAAACAATTATAAATTACATGCTATTCGAGAAAGATGGGAACATGACAATATATACCGCTATTGTTCGGTTTTACCATCCCCAGCAAGCCTATCCGGAACTTCTGTGGAATCAAACTTTAACATCAGTCCACCTTGGAAGAGAGCCCATCCCACTCTCCAAGCTCTCCTGCCAGGAGACTGCAAAGGTTCTTGTTGTTTATTCCAATAAAACAGCCATCTCCTCCTAGATAGATATATAGATAAATAGCTTTCCTGACTCCTGCAAGCCTGCTCAAGACTTTTCAATCATAAATTTTCAGTGGATCACCCTATTAAAACAGGCTCCTTCCACCATGACCTTCTACCTGGTGGTAGATGAGGCTTAAGTATATGTTTACTTACTGTTTGTCTAGCAGTTTTCTAAGATTTTTATATAAGCTTCAATGTAGAACTGAATTTTTCTATTTTTTTTTCCAATTTCCTCTTCCCCATTTTTACAACTGTGTATTGACCACTGAATGTTTCAAGTCAGTGCCTGTCAGTAGGTAAGACCACTCTGCTTTACTTCAATCATCTTCTCCCTATTCTGCCAGGCAGGAAGAGCAGCAAAGCCTTATATTCTGAGCAAGGTGTGCCATCTAAAGGCTGCTTGCATTACTGCAGGCAGCTAAAGCTGTATTTATTAAAACAGAAAGTTAGATACTTGGCTTTTACAGGAAGGGATTTTCTTAAGACTTGATGCCTAGTATCACCATGAAACTGCATACAGGTCATAACATAAAATCCATAAGGTACACAGTATGTAATCTACAAAACAAACAAAAATAAGGAAGTGGAGCACAAATCTTAACTGCAATATAGTAGCGAATTTTAGCTGTAACATTGAAATCCAGCTGAACACCCACACATTAGTATAATAAAAGCCTCATTAATCAAAACATTTTTTGTTTGACCCCACCCTCTGGACATATCTTCAGGACGATATATTTGTTCTGTGTACAATTAACAGTGTCCTAAATAAATCTTTGTTAAGTCCAGTAAGTTTGTTATATGGTACCTCTGTAAATTAAGAATGTATTTAACCAATAAATTTTTATAATTAAGTCATTATGGCATTTTTATTGTCTTATTCTATGGAGAGCCGAGCTCTCCGCTTGACATGACAGTTTTATGGATCTCATTCTGCTTAGATATTTAACTCAACAGCAAAAAAAACCAACCCAACACCCTCAAACAAATAATACAATATCACATCCCTTTACACATAGTCCAAACCCCTCAGAGAATCCTAACAGTTTTAACACAGATAATTCAAGCCTTCGGACTCGGGTACATTTCACACCTGCAGAATCTATGACATGTGCTACCTGGAGCGACCAGCCATTGTCACAGGGTATCACACAAGGTGGTGATGGTCTGCTCTCGCTGTGGCAAGGTTACTTGTGATGAAGACATGGGCTGAGCCTCAGCTGATCAGCAATTCTACACATACTTTTTAGTGTGCTCTGCTGATTGCTGCTCTTCATACACCATGATTTGTCAGATGATATTTGTACAAAGAATACAGAGGATCCACAACAATGTCCTTCCTGCTCCTTCTTCCCCCATCTGAAATCATTTTATAAAGCACACATTTATCCAGAGTCCCTACATGGTAATACCAGCAGTCTACTGTTCCAAAAAAATAGAATTAAAAAAGCTGGGAAAAAACCAAAATCCTCTTGTACTAGCCTTTTCGCAACATATACTCCTCAAGACATACAGCAGCAGGAAAAAGAAACAGGATAAAAGACACAAGTTTTCAGAAATGAGATCAGAAACGACAGCTTAGGATTTCTAACTCTCCTAGTCTACAGAGTACAGGCCAGTTGCAATCCCTTACGATTTGTTTGATAGAACTATTGCTAAGCAGAGAAAATACAGCCAACACATGTCCATTAATAAAAAGCTCTGACAGATCTTACGCTAATGCAGGGCTTGAATACATGCATATATATATATATATAGGTACACACCTGCATTAAAACTTACTGTGGTAGGTTCAAGGATCTTTACCTCACCACACTTACCCAAAATCATGGTTTGTTTTTCTAACTCCAGTGAAAAGTTCTCCTTTTTGTTAGTGAAGTGAAGGGGCATTTGTTGCAATTTATGGCTTCAAAAATATGCCTGTGGCTTCTGGAGGAGAATGACACCTGCCTCAACAGTACAGATGAAAAGAACAAAACAGATTAAAAGCAGCACTATTCCTTTCTCCTCTTTCAGCATCATGAAAATTTTGAGCTCTCACTATCCTTCCACTACACAAACAGGAAAAAGCAGAACAAGTACTGACTGCAAGAGCCGCCACCACGATCTCGGTGACCACCCCCAAACAGGTCAGTACCATGGCGTGCTCAGGTTTTACATCACAAACTTACCAATAATTTAATAGCACAAAGTTTACGTTTGTTGTTTAATTCTAAACAAAACATGCTGATAGTGCTCCTCATGCGCCAGAAAAACACACTCTTCATTTTTTAAGCTGGCATAAGGTGAACAACAAGTACAAACACCAGGTGCTATCA